GTTCCAAATTGGGAAAGGAGTACCTCAAGGCTGTATATTGTCACCCTGCTTATTTAACTTATATGCAGAGTACATCATATGACATGCTGGGCTGGATGAAGCACAAGCTGGAATCAAGATTGCTGGGAGAAATATCAATAACCTTGGCTATGAAGATGACAACACCCTTATGGCAGAAAGCAAAGAGGAACTGAGGAGCCTCTTGATGAAACTGAAAGAGGAGAGTGAAAATATTAGCTTAAAACTCAACATTCAAAAAACTAAGATCATGGCATCTGGTCCCATCACTTCATAGCAAATCGATGGGGAAACAATGGAAACAGTGATAGGCTATTTTGGGGGGCTCCAAAATCACTGCAGATGGTGACTGCAGCCATGAAATTAAAAGATGCTTGCTCCTTGGAAGAAAAGTTATGACCAACCTAGACAGCATGTTAAAAAGCAGAGACATTACTTTGCCAACAAAGGTCTGTCTAGTCAAAGCTATGGTTTTTCTATTAGTCATGTATGGATGTGCGAGTTGGACTATAAAGAAAGCTGAGCTCCAAAGAATTGATGCTTTTGAACTGTGGTGTTGGAGAAGACTCTTGAGAGTGCAGGGAGATCCAACCAGTCCATCCTAAAGGAAATCAGTTCTGAATATTCATTGGAAGGACTGATGCTCCAGCTGAAGCTCCAATACTTTTGCCACTTGATGCTTCAAAGAACTGACTCATTTGAAAAGACTGATGCTGGGAAAGATTGAAGGTGGGAGAAGGGGATGACAGAGGATGAGATGGTTGGATGGCATCACCGACTCGATGGACATGAGTTTGAGCAGGTTCCGGGAGCTGGTGATGGACAGGGAAGCCTGGCATGCTGCAGTCCATGGGTCGCAAAGAGTCAGACACAACTGAGCAACTGAACTGAATAGGTATATATGTATGTGAAAGTGTTAGTCGCTCAGTCATGTCCAACTCTTCACGATTCCATGGACTATAGCCACCAGGTCCTCTGTCCATGGAATTCTCCAGGCAAGAATATTGGAGTGGGTTGCCATGCCTTTCTCCAGGGAATCTTCTCATCCCAGGGATGCAACCCAGGTCTCCCGCATTATGGCCAGATTTTTTACCATTTGAGCTACCTAGGATAGTGGGTAAATATGTATAGCTGCAACAAAAGCCAGATAGCAAAATGTTATGCTGATGAAATCAGGCTCAAGTTCTGCCTAACTTTAAAAACATCTTATTTAAAACTTTACTAAAACTCAAGATTTAATGATCTTCCTCAAATGTTATTATTGTCATTATAATTTAAGAAAATGAAATATTGATACATTTTTCTTCAAGTCACATATTGTTGTTGTTTAGTCGCTCAACTGTGTCTGACTCAGTGACTTCATAGACTGTAGCCCACCAGGCTCCTTTTTCCATGGGATTTCCTAGGCAGGAATACTGGAGTGGGTTGTCATTTCCTTCTCCAGGGGATCTTCCCAACCCAGGGATCAAACCTGTGTCTCCTGCATGACAGGCAGATTCATTATCACTGAACCACCAGGGAAGCCCAAGTCACATATAGGTATCCTCCAATTTATTCCAGCTTATCCCAGTATTCTAGAAAAATACTATAATTTTTATGAATATGAAAAAGACTGGAAAGCAGTGTCCTGTATTCTGTTTATCAGCATAGATCTGGTTAGGGTTACAGAGACTGATGCACTCACTGGCTGATGCACCCACCGTCGTTAATCACCTTGGTCCTGGGTGTTAATGAGCTCTGATTTCTGCGCTACAGATAACAAGCCTATTACTGTCCCAATGCACCTATGGAGAAGCCTCTTCAGGTAAACTGCAACCTTGCAGCTCAGTTTTCAAGTGCAGTTTGCTGGCTGCAAACAATCATCTCTGCTTTAATCACCCCTCTTTGGCTGTGCACACTCCCCACTGGGTGGCTTCTCCTCAGCAAGCTGAAGCCTCATTTTTCCAGCACACTAAGCAGGATTGCTTTTGCAAGTCTGTGTAACAAAGTCTTGACCGAGAAAAACGCAAGTAGTCTGCAAACTTTTTCTTTCCCTTCAATTGTCCTCTCTCTCCAGTAATCCGGGTCACCAGGGCCAATCTCTGTTAGACATTAAAAAGTGAGTAAAGCCTCTTAATTCACCCCACCAGATGAAATCTGCTATTGCATAAGCAATGAAGAACCAGAGAGAACCCCCACCCCTGGAGCAGCCATTTCAGCAGCTCCTTAAAATGAAGCTATATTTGGAAGATCTCTGTGTAGGAAACAAGGCTAATACTTAGTTCCCAGAAGATTAGGTGTGGTTTTCATGAGCTCATCAAGGGGGCGGTTCCATGTTTCTATTTTTAAAATGCTTATAAAACCCATCCTTCCTTGGTGAAAGACAACAGATAAGAGGAGAGACGTTTCTCATGTTACAGTTAGAGGCAACAACCCTGCCAATCTGGTTCCCAGAGAAAAGACTAAGTAGTAAATGCTTCAGTTTCAGCTGAGGCTGGGATAATCTGCTCTTGAGTTTCGGCCAAATTCCATGGAGTCTGTGTCCAGGCCAGCCAGGCTTCTCCCAGCCTGGGCACCGGCAGTCTCTGCGGAGTCAGAGCAACTGGGTCGGTCTAGGTAGCACGTCCTCCTCCAGGAGCAGAAAAATACCTAGTCCCCTGAACCAGGTTGGGGGTAGGGAGTGGTTCAGCACCGGGACCACCTGGAAATGGCACATGCCTCAGTCATGTCGCAGCACCCTAGTATTTAAAATCATCTGGGGGATGACTCAGTCCCCAAACAGTCCTCACCATTTTGCTAAAGTCTTGGGCCCCTATCAATCACCTTGTTACCATTGTGGGAAACAGAAGCACAGAGAAATGAAGGGAGTTAAGGTCCTACAGCGAGGGCCTTGCTCTTCATCTCAGCTAGCCTCCCTACACTGGCAATTCTCAGATGACTTCTTTGGGTGGGAGTAACAGTTCCCTTTCCATAGGAGAAGTATGAAGAGTCTTATATCGAGTCCAATGCAGTCTCGAAAGACGTTTGAATCTTGGCTCCACAAGGCACATCCAAGGTCTGAGTCGCTAACACAGAGAGAGGGTGTGTGCCTAAGAGCAGCAGTCGGCAACTTTTTTGGCACCTGGGACCAGTTTTGTGGAAACAGTTTTAAGACCCTGATGCTGGGAAAGATTGAAGGCAGAAGGGGACAACAGAGGATGAGATGGTTGGATGGCATCACCGGCTCGATGGATATGAGTTTGAGCAATCTCCTGGAGATGGTGATGGACAGGGAAGCCTGGCATGCTGCAGTCCATGGGTTCGCAGAGTTGCACACGACTGAGCGACTAAACTGAACTGAGAAGCAGGTGGTGGTGGATGGTTTGGGGGGTGATTCAAGTGCATTACATTTCTTGTGCATTTTATTTCTATCATTATGACATCAGCTCCACCTCAGATCATCAGGGATTACATCCTCGAGGTTGGGGACCGCCGCCTAACAGCATCTCCTTCCGCCTGTCTTGCAAAAGGTACCCAGCAAGACTCAGGCACTACTGGCGGGAGCGTGAGAGCAGGTACTCAGTAGGTTTTGGGAATGTGGATTTCGCAGAGGGGTGCTATTTCCCCAGAATCTTCTTCCGGCTTCCCTGGGAGCAAACGCTTTCCACTTCAGAAGGACGATCACTCTAGATGAACTTTGAGCTTCTTCCCCAGCAGGATAGACTCCCAGACTGGACGCTGGGCTTAAGAGGAAATCAGGGCGGACATACTTTGGGATCGGGCAGCACCACCAATAACCAGTTCCAATGAAGGCCGGAAAGAGCGAAACCAGTTTTTGCTGGCGGCCATCCTGGCCTGGGTCCAGGGGCTCGTCCTTACTCCATACCAAACTCCCCAGGGTCGGGTTTACACTGAGGCCGCTTCTCGCAAGCCCTGGAACCTGAGTGGGTGCGGGGTGGAGCGGGGCGCGGACCACCGCGATGTCTGTGACCTGAACCGAAATCTGAGCCCAAAGAGCCGGGGACACCGGAGTACTGCCGAGGCCGCCAGCACGTTAGGAACCACGATCTTTCCTTGGGGACAGGGGGCCAAGTCGCCGTCGCCCTTGCCAACTCCGCATCTGGGTGCTCTCTAGCACCCTGGCTGCCGGGTACCCCGGCTCAGAGGGAACTCGTCGGTGTTGTCCCAGGCCTAGGGCAGGTGCCGCGCGGTAGTCCGGATCCCCGGGAGGTGTGGCGAGGCCGATTCCGCTCAGGGCGCGCCCCACCCCTGTCCCGCCTCCAGCTCCGCCCCGGGCCCCGCGGGCAAGTGGGGTGGGGGGAGGACGGAATTTCCCAGCGCGGGGGCTTGGGCTGTCCCGCAAGCCGGCGGGCTCTGTTTACGGAGAGAAAGGGGAAATGGAAAAGGCGGGGAGGCGGCGGCTGGAGTCCGCTGCGCCGCCCCTAGGCCGGCTCAGACGCCGTGACTCAGGGGCCGACGAGGGCGTCCCGGGAGCGCGAGCTGCTCCGGGCTCATTTGGCAGCTCGGACCTGGACTGCGCGCCACGCTCCGGGGCCGTTCGCCCTGGCTCCCGCTTCTGCTGTCACCGGGCCTGGGGACCCCGGAGCGCCCGGCTCCCGGGGGCTGCCCACCAGCTGCGAGGAGAGCCGTCGAGGGACCGCGGCGGGAGCGCTTTGCCCGCGGGACCGCACGGAGGCCGCAGGTAACGCAGACTTTGGGGGTTCAGGGGTATCGTTAGATCGCAGCCCTGCTGGGTGCCCCGGCGGTTCCCACCCTGAGATCCAGGGAGCCCCGGCATCAGGGCATGGGGGTGCGGTGTGTGCTCCGGGGATCCAGGAGGTAGGGGCTGCCGGCTTCCAGCTGCGGCGCTCCGAGGCTGAGCGCGGGTAGTCGCGGCAGCCAGCACAGCTGGAAAGCACCTTGCGCAAGGGTCTCTCGGGGCGCCGCCCCCGACTCCTCCCCCTTCCTCCAGTTTCCCGGATCCCGAGCGCGCGAGCAGTGCAGGTCCGGGCGATGCGCCCGGAGGCTGGGACCCGCTGTCACCGCGCCTCCCGCCGCGTGCGCCACCCGCGCGGCTGCCCTCTGTCTGCCCAGACCCGGTGAGTGCACCCCGGAGGCGGGGGCCCCCGCTGCCCCTTGCCCTAACGAGGGGTGCTCTTCTAACTTGCAAGCCCTTTAAGGCTCCCTTCGCTTTAAGGAAAGAGACGGGAGGAAGGGAGTGGAGGTGGGGGCTGGCGGGACCGAGAGTCGTGTAAGAGCTGAAACTTTCAAGTTTCATGCTTGTTTGGTGGACCGTCTTCTGTGACTAAGAGGGTGATTATAGCAGAAGACGAATGCTGGGCTTTTGGCCTAAGAAAGAATGTTCAGGGGAAAAATGTTTTATTTCACAGATGTTTCCCCGTGGAAATGCAGTATTCAGGATTCCGAAGTTTAAAAGGAAGAACCGCGCACAGATTGTCCCAAAAGTTAACAGGGAAGGCCGTGAACTGTCTTTCTGTGAAACACTGCAATGTCTGTTTCACTTTGGGAAAGACATATTTTTGCCCGGAATAAAGGACTGCTCTTGATAAAAACAGGAAAAGAAGCGCTAATACAGTTGGCTTTTTGTATCTGTGGCCTGAGTTGTAGGTACTGGCCAAGGAGGAGGTAACCTGAATCGGCAAACGCCCCCAGATCTGATGGGTGGAGGTTTGTGTGCAGTGTTTTGGCTGAGGTCTCCTGTAAGGAAAATTGGAGAGTTGAGGCATAGAGATTTTGAAGTGGCTGTGCTTCTAATACAGTGAGAATGGCTTCGTTCTGGGGCTTTTTGAGAACAAAAATATCATTAGAAAAAGTCTTACTGGATGTGGGCCCCGAGGGGCAACGTGATATTTTGGCAGAAAAATCTATTAAATGGGAAGTACCACGAGGTATAATCATCCTTTTGTTAAGCAGGAACTTAGGCCAGTCATGTTGGGCATTTTCACTCACACTTGCCAGGAAACCCTCAACTTTTGTTTGTGTAGATGGAAGAAGCCAGGAGTATGCCATTCATGTTTAGGAAGAGTATTTCCTCTTGATTGTATTTCCAGTGTCAGAAATAATTCAGAGCAGATAATTTTGACTGTGGTGGTGATTTAGTCACCCAGTCATGTCTGACCCTGTTGGCCCCATGGACTGTACCGTGCAGGCTCCTCTGTCCATGGGATTTTTAGACATGGACAAATGGGCAGAATTTTGACTATATCTGCCCATCTGTCCGTGTCTAAAATTGGTATATTCCCCAACTGCAGTAACAACCAGTGATTTAATGCAGATTTTTTTTTTTAACTGTTAACTGTGTGGAGAAGGGTCCTTGTGGCTAAAGTGGAATACAGATACCTTCACTATTCACACTTTTTCTAGATGGCTACTGATGGTGAATAACTAAGAAATTGTTAGCATTTTGTCTGCCTAGTTAAGGTCTGAAAGTGCTGAGGCTTTTGCCCAGACCTTTAGCGGATGGACTGGTCATCAGGGTTGCCTAAGGAGCACACAGATTTGCGTGAGAGGAGGGTGGCGTTGCTAAGGAATTAATGGCAGAGAGGACACACTCCTCCACCTCCCTGCCCTCCCTCCTGCCTTCCCTCCCTCCTCGAGTTTCCAGATTAGGGGTGTGTGTGGCTCCGCCTCTTAGGTTTTACATATAAATACTCCAGACTTACAGCAGAATTTAAGAACCAAAACCTGCCTTTCCACTCTCTGGATCAGCTGACTTGTAAACTGTATGACCTTTTTCTCTCTTTCTTTAGCCCTGTTACCCCTGGGAACTTTACTTTCTCTCTGGCCAGCCATTTGAGAAGTAAACCCAGCAGCTTTGGAAGTTTTTAGCCAGTGGGATCCTAAATTGGGCTGTTTTTGTTTTAATTCCGTTTTTTTTTTTTTTCCCCTGTAAATTTTGCAAGTAGAAACTGCAACTAAACGGCCCCATGAAACCCAAGTTGAATGTTCCTCCATTAACCTAAGAAATTCCTTTCAGAACTCAACAGACTCCAAGAGCCTAAATCAGTCTTCCTCAAAGACCTGCTAGGTCTCAGAGAGGGGGGCTTCCTTTGCTCTCTAGATGCAACCACAGTGATAACAGCCATCAAAACGTTTCATAGCTTTCTGACTTTTTTTTTTTTCCTTTGTCTCTTATTTTAGAAATGATCTTTAAAACCTTGCTGCAAAGAAGTGGGGGAATAGGTAGCCACATCCCATTTGCAGATAAGAAAGCTGTTCTGTTGTGGTATCTGCAAAGCCAGGAATCAGACTCAGTCCTTTGCTTTCATGCACATCATAGCAGCTGCAAAAGACACAGTTGATTTACTGTGTACCAGACTCTGCACCTAGCACCTTGTGCTCTTGAGCTCCTTTGATCCCCACAACCACCCATGAAGGACATGCTGTTATTACTTGCATTTTACAGATGGGGAACATTGATGTGCAGTGGGGTTAAAGAGGGCTTTGCAGGTGACTCCATGGGTAAAGTACTTGCCCAAGATCAGCAGACAGAAAACGAGAGGCTAGAGATTGGATCCCCTGCAGTCTGAGTTTAGGTGGGGTGTCAGACTGCAGGATCTTTCCTTCTTACCCCAGACACTGTTTGTAGAGCAGAAATTGATCCCCCAGTAACTTAATAATGGCACAATTGGTTCATTTCTCCAGTGAAATTCACCAAGAGGTCTGGGTCTGGGTCTTGTGGGCAGGTGGCCCTGAGGTGGAATATTTCCCTGGGTTTGGTGTGCGTGCTCCAGGTTGGTGGGAGCCTGTGGTTTTTATTTATCCCTGTGTGCATTGAAGGCTTGTGCTTTTAAGAACCTGAAACATCTCTCAGAGAGAGGATGCTTCCAGGAGTGCAGTAGTTTAAGTAGACATACATATCTTTCTATTTTCTTAGGTCCCTTAAGTCCTTTTATCTTTAATGTTTTGGGATGGGATTGTTCCAAAATCCTGTGTTACAGCCTCACTGTTTACCCTTCATTTCTCTTCGTTTTCTCATTTACAGATCCCCAGGTGTGGCTCCTGGTGTGTGTATAAGAACTGAAAAACAGTTTTGGCTAAGCAGACTTAGTTGACCTTGTCTGTGTCTTGCTTATGATAGATTTGTCTGCCCTGGCCTCTTACCACAACTTCTAGAGAGTCATTGATCTAGATGTGAAATGAAACCTCTTGAGTCTGTGAGATGCATGCTTTGTCCTGTTAAAGAGTTCTGGTCACAGGAGGGGACAGCTGATTACAGGTTAAAAGAATCTTCTTTCTCATAGCTATCCTCAGCAGAAGGAGGATTTGAGGTTTGCTGTCTTCCTTCTAAGTGAGCCATTTATTTGCATCAGAATTATTCCTGAAACTTGACTTACCATCACCAAATTTGTTTAGATTAAAATCCATTTGAGATGCTTCTGGCTTCAGGAGCTGAATTTTATTTGCAAAGCTAGTTCCTGAATTTGGTAAAGGAATTTCTTTTTTTTTTTCTTAAGTGTATTTCTATTTTTGTTTTATGTATTTATTTATCTTTGGCTACACCATGCGGCTTGAAGAATCTTCATTCCCGACCTGGGATTGAACCCAGGATTCTGTGGTGAAAGGGCTAAGTCCTAACCACTGGACTGTCAGGGAATTCCCAGAGAGTTTCTTTTCTTTTTAAATTCACCCAAGGCCTAAAAGTCACAGAGATATGCAGAAAGGATTGCCCTTTTTGGGAGAGCAGCAGGTTGGAAACTGTCAAGAGCCAGGCGCCTCAGCTCCTGCTCCTCAAATTCACACTTGGGTTTAGCGAACGTTTATTTTCAGAAGCTACAGCTGATGCCAGCAACTCAGTGAGTAAGTGGGTAGCTAGTGAGTTCACTGGATCTCAGGTTTCCTTCTGTAAAGTCAGCGCCAGATTAAAGGTTATCTCCGGTCCCTTTCTTCACTGTCTGTGCACTTGACCTCACACACATTGTGGCTGCAGCCCCTGTTTTATGAACAAAAGCACACAGAAGCCTGTACCCAATCCATCTTGTCAGTTTCCTATTGATCGCAGATACAAACACAGTAACCTAAGTAGTCGCACTTTCTTCTGCAGACTCTCTGGAGAGCTCAACAGTGATGGAGTTCATGAGCACTGGGAGTGACAACAAAGAGGAACTCGATCTATTAATGAAACATTTGAATGTGTCCGATGTGATAGACATTATGGAAAATCTTTACGCAAGTGAAGAGCCAGCGGTTTATGAACCCAGTCTGCTGACCATGTGTCAGGACAGTAACCACAACGAGGAGGAGCGGTCTGAGTCTCTACTGCTCAGTGGGCAGGAGGGGCCTTGGTTGTCCTCAGTCAGATACGGGACCGTGGAGGACTTGCTTGCTTTTGCAAACCACATATCCAACACTGCGAAGCGTTTATACAGACGCCGACCACAAGAATCTGGAATTTTGTTAAATATGGTATGTTTTTTCCTGATCAGTTGAATGCTGTGTGTTCAGCTTCCTACTCCTGCTACACTTAATGCTGAGTGGGATTTGAACGTGGTTCAGACTGGCTGCCAGGTACGGTTTTTAAAAATGGAATATCTGTAGGAATGACCTCCACGTGAAAGCTGCAAAAAAAAACAGCCTTCATAAAAAGTTCTGTTTAAAGAATCTTCTCCATATTTTAGAAGTAGTTCTACAAATAGGTAATTAAGAAGAATGAATTTTAATTTCATGATTCACTAAAGAGCTCACTTGTCAATTAAGTCAAAGACAAAGGCTTTTGAGAGGGGAATAAAGACTTTGTCTTTATATATTTTTTATATAGTATAGTTTATGTATAATTTTGTATAAGTTACAGCTGTACAATATAATGATTTACAATTTTTGAAGGTTATACTCCATGTACATTATTATAAAATATTGGCTATATTTCCTGTGTTACACAGTATGTCCTTATAGGTTATTTTATACATAATAGTTTGTACCTCTCAATCTTCTACCCCCTTCCCTTCCCTCTACTCACTGTTAACCATTAGTTTATTTTCTATGAGTCTGTTTCTTTTTTTAATATGTATTAATTTGGTTTTTTTTTAGATTCCACATATAAGTGATATCATACAGTGTTTGTGTTTGTCTGCCTTAATTTCACTTAGCATAATACCCTCCAAGTCCATCCGTGTTGTTGCAAATGGCAAAATTTCATCCTTTTTATGACTGAATATTATTCCATTGTGTGTGTGTGTGTGTGTGTGTGTGTGTGTGTGTACCACATCTTCTTTATCCATTCATGTGTTGACAGATGATTAGATTGCTTCCATTTCTTGGCAATTGTAAATAATGCTGCTGAGAACACTGCGATGTATGTGTCTATTGAATTATTGTTTCCATTTTTTCAGATGTATACCCAAGAGTAGAATTGCTAGGGAATATGGTGGTTCTCTTTTAAGTTTTTTGAGAAACCTCCATCCTGTTCTCCATAGTAGCTGCACCAATTTGCATTCTCACCAAGTGTAGGAGGATTCCCTTATCTTCACATCCTCATCAGCATTCGTTATTTGTGTTCTTTTCGATGATAACCATTCTTACAGCTGTGAGGTGATATCTCATTGTAGTCCTGATCTGCATTTCCCAATGATTAGAGATGTTGAACATCTTTTCCTGTGCATGTTGGCCATTTGCGTATCCTCTTGGGGGAAATGTCAGTTAAGGTCTTCTGCCCATTTTTTAATCGGGTTTTTGTTTTTTTGATGTTGAATTGTAGGAACTATTTGTATATTTTGAATATTCACCCTTTCCTTTTTGGTAGTATAATTTGCAAATATTTTCTCCTGTTCAGTAGGCTGTCTTTGTGTTTTGTCCTTGGTTTCCTTTGCTGTGCAAAAGTTTTTAGGTTTAATTAGGCCTCATTAGTTTATTCTTGCTTTTATTTCCTTTGCTTTAGGGCACAGATCCAAAAAATATTGCTATAATTTATGTCAAAGAATGTTCTGTTTAATTAACGTTTTTGAAGGCTGAATTTTTTGTCACAAAAAATCCTCTTTTGTTACATCTTGAAACATCATAGTACTAATACTGGCTAAATTCAGTTCTTGCAGAAATGTAGTTTGTGGGCAGTAAATAGTTATCCAGAGATGCTCTCTCTTTAATTGGTGAGGTATGAATGACAAGGGATATATTTGTTTAGTTACGCTAAGTATGAAAATAATCCAAAATATTGTGACAACATTTAGTTGCCACAATAGAAGATCAGGTGATGTATTGGGGTGTGGTTGGTCTCTTAGTGTGTCAAAGGTGAATGTAGGTGCTGCCTAAAGGTGATCTAATTTTTGAAAAAGAACAATTCTCAAAGGAGTGGGTGGGAACTTGCAAAACATGCTTACTGATGATGAAAGCACCTCAGTTTCCTTTGGTGCATATAAATGGGAGAGATGGTTAATATATGGTAGGTGGTGCTGAACAAGTAGAGTCTGTACCAAGTACTTAATTATTATTATTACTTTTTGTGTACCACATTTGTTCAGTTCAAAACAACACAGTGATTTAGGTCAGCTATGAAGTGAATTGTTTTGTTAGAAGCCAGCTGTGTTCACCTATAGCTCAATTGCCAGCAAGATTGCAAAATCACGTTTTACAAAAAAAAAGTAAAGGTTACGTTTTGCATTGTTGTATGACTTGCTTTGGTCTGGATATGCCAAACTGTATTTGATACTTAACTTTGTCTTGAGAAGAGTACTTCTTTTCATACATGGGAAGTCATAATTTGAACTAGGGGTCATACCTGTTTGTCTTAGCTAAAATATAGCTGGAGAGCTCTGGTTCAAAATAACATATATGTCTATGATCAGAAACAGAATGGTTTATGTGGTTTTTTTTTTTTTTGCATACTTGTTAAAATGACTATTTTAAAGGAAACCATACAGAATAAACACATTGTTTTTGCTTGTAAATATGTAGAGACTTCCCTTCTTTCCCCTGGCCAATCAGACTGATGAGAGATGGGCCATAGAATTGGGAATGTACGGAAGGGAATTCGGGGAAATTCTGTTTCTCTGCTTTACAAGATGATGGCTAATCATCTACTAAACACACTGGTTCCAACCGTACCTTTAAATGGACCATATGCTCTGCTTCCAGGATTTGTCCATTTGTTTGCTAGACAGAGCTCAAATATCTACAGAACATGAGGTGCTTTTTCAGGTGCTAGAAATACAATCTGTGTTTCCTGGTCGCTTTCTGCGTGCTGAAGGAGGCAAGTAAACATGTAATTATAATGCAGTGTAATATTTCTCAATATAGCTACACCCTGATCAGGGGAATGGTCAGGCAAGATACCTCACATAACCGTGAGGGTTGATAGGATATCAGAGAGGCCTCCAAGAGGAATTAAAAAAGAATTTTCCCCCCCTTGTTTTTGGCCACATCATGCAGTTTGCAGAACTAAGATTCTGCAAACTGAATCTTAGTTCCCCAACCAGGGATTGAACCCTGGGCCCTGGCGGAGTAGAACTGCTGAGTCCTAACTACTGCCTTGCCAGGGGAATTCCCCCCAAGAGGAAGTGATGTTTTAATTACTGAGTTAGAATCAACCAGATGAAGGGGATGGAGAGCAGAGAATGTTCCAGATGGTGAGATTGGAGGCATAGATACATGGTGTGTTGCTGGCAACCAACAATCACAGCACCATGGAATTAGACGGGGTGGAGGGCCCAGGAATTACAAAATTAACCTGAAGCACAGGCATGTGAAACAGTGGTCTGCATGTGTGTGCAGGTATCTGCTGTTCTCCTAAAAATAATATTTATAAAGTTCCCTCCAACATCCACAGGACCTGGGGAAGAAACTTGAGGAGACTAAGCCAGGGATTGCTTTGTATGAGGATGCTACAAATTACCTATAATCTAGACCAACTCACCCACATCTGGGGATGAGTAGCCTAAAATGGGTTCTCAACACTCAACTCTTGTGTGATTATTGGGAAGCTGAAGATCCCCAAGGAGCTTGCTCAGAGGTGTGGGTGTGTGATGCTGAGTGCTGCTCCTCTGGGCTTAGTCACGGATTCCTGGCTTCTCAGTCTTAAAAAACCTTAAATATACTTGAATCAAACTCTCTCTCTGAGGCTTGGCTCATCCCATTCATCATCTCCAATAATTGCTGGGGCATTTTGGCCTTTGCTTGGAAACCTGTGATGAAGCATGCATCATATTCTGGGGCGTATATCATCATATCAGGCCAACTGATTGCAGAGAAGTCCTTCCTTAGATGGTACAAGCATTTATCTCTGAGCGCCCTTAGTCCTAGCCCTACTTCTTGGCCATAAAAATGGGATGACTCTCATACATATATGATGAGTAGTGGTGAAGAGAGCAGGCCCCTGAGTTCAAGTGCCTGGCATGTATCTCAGCTCTGAAACGGAGTAGGTGACCCCAAGCCAGCTACTACAACCTCTGTGCCTCCATTCACTCATTTGCAAAATGGGTAAATGGCCACATTCACTCCACATGGTTGTTTGGGGTCAAATAATTGCAAGCGGTCTGTATGCACATTGAGAGTGTTGAAAGGACACAGGCCATTGTGGTTGTCACTCTCCTTCCTTACGACAGTCCTCCCAGTGTTTGCAAAACTGCACGTGTTCCCTCTTCTTCCCTCGGCCCCCACGTCTTCCCTCTTCTCTCCCCGTCAGCCCTGGCTGTGCCTGCGCCTCCTCGTGCACAGGCCCCAGCCAGTACCCATCTTGAACCTGGCTGCCCCTTTGCTGTGGGACCAGCAGGGGAGCACAGAGCCAGCTTGGCCTTTGTTCTAGATCCCTCGTCTCTCTTCATGTAGCCCAAGGTCACATCCATTTTCTAGCTACCACATCACCTTGTGGAATCATTCTCACTGACTTAACCTACTCAAATGCTGTTTCTGGGCTGGTGATGTGTCATGCCAATGGCAGTGATCGGGATGAGTAAATGGACAGCATAGGGGCTTCCCAGGTGATGCAGTGGTAAAGAATTCACTTGTGAATGCAGGAGACGCAGGAGATGTGGGTTCGATCCCTGGGTCAGGAAGATCTCCTGGTGAAGGAAATAGCAAACCACTCCAGTATTCTTGCCTGGAGAATCTCATGGACAGAGGAGCTTGGTGGTGATGGTCCATGGGGTTGCAAAAAGTTGAACATGACTGGGCGACTGAGCGCGTGCACACACACACACACACACACACACACACACACACACGGACAGCATGCCTTCAATGTCTGCACTTGAATGTGGCTTTAGTACATGGAAGAGTTGACAGAGATAATGGACAACAGAGATTTCCAGAAGATTATCTACTTGGGCTGCTAGAAATAAGAAGAAGGGAAAAAATATTTCAAACCCAGATAGGGAAGGTCTAGGGCTTGGAAAGATCCCAGGACTTTGCAGAACCACATACTGGCCAACACTTTTATGTCACCCTGCGCGTTCAGGGTCTGTCATCAGAGGTGGCCTGGAGAACTCTCAGGGCATTCAGAGAAGAACGTGGGGGAATGGTAAACTGGGGTGAAGGAACTGCAGTATTTGATCTAAAGAGGAGAAGGCCAAGCCATCTCAGTGGAGTATAAATTAGGCATTTGGTCACTGGGTTCAACTTTAATTACAACCTCTGGAAAACTGAAGGCTCTTATCTAAAGAATAGGAGCTGTGGCTTGAGGTCAGACAGACCTGACTCTGTCACTGCCTACTGAGTTCCTAACCTCTTCAAGTCAGTTTCTTCATCTCTAAGTGGAGATAAAGAGAGTCCTTACATCACAGACGTAAGCGAAACTGATGTGTTCGTGTGTGAAGTACTCAGCACAGTGCCTGGCCCAGAGCTAGCACTCAGCAGATGGATAGTATTATCACTCTCATCCTCTCAGCTAAAAGGACACTGGGTCAGAGTGGGTTAAAGCAGATTTGAGTTGAACAAAGGTAAAACTTTCAAGTGAAGTCAGACAAAGACAAATATCCCATGATGTCACGTATATGTGGAATCTAAAAACATCATACCAAGGAACTTATTTACAAAATAGAAACAGACTCACAGACATCGAGAACAAACATATGGTTACAGAAGGAGAAAGGTGAGGGGAAAGGGAGAAATTAGGAGTTTGGGGTTAGCATGTACAAACTGCTACATATAAAATAGAGAAACAACAAGGACCCACCATACTGCACAGGGAATTGTGCTCAGTATCTTGTAATAACTTATAATGGAAAAGAACCTCAAAAAGAATATATATGTGTTTGTGTAACTGAATCGCTATGTTGAACACCTGAAACTAACACAACATTGTAAATCAACTATACTTCAGTGATTAAAAAAACAAAACAAAACAAAACAAAACCTAAAAAAAAAAGGTAAGATTTTTTTTTCCCAAAGGCTGCTTAAACCCTGAAGTGAGTCCTGGAGAATGAAGAGCAATTGGATCTGTAAATATTTAATAACAAGGAAGAGGCAGTAAAGCCAGTGCAGCTGGTGCCGAGGCACGGTTCTGTCTTGAGGACTAAACCTACCATGTCCCCAGCCTCCTGTAGAAGTGGCCTCCAGGAACTTGAGGTGACGCTTCTTGAAACGAGGTCATATTTCAAACTTGGCAAGACCGTGGTCTCTGCTTAGTTATGGTTCCTCCTGCACGGCGGCCATGCTCACTAAATGCTAAAGTTTTGAGTGTCAGTAACTTCACATTTCTAAGTATTAGCATCTTTCTCTGTTTCATTCCTGACTAATAGTATGCATGTCTGTGGGGTGTAGCTACGATTAGTAATAATGGGTCCTGAGTGAATAACCCTTATGGTCACCGGTGTTGTTCCCGGAGCAGGGTCGTGTGAGCAGCCCAGCGGGTCTGGAGATGAATCGCTATCTTCTCTCCCCACGTGATCCGCATTCCCCCGCAGCCTCTTCCGTTCTTAAAATAACTCTGTGTCACTTTGATAGTCTCATAATTCCTGAATTCATAATCTGAAGTCATACTGTTACTAATGATTTGCAGGTAAAACCTGTATTTTTGAGATTCTAGCCCTTGAAAAATACTTTACACCATCTTTCTTTTTTTTAAAGGAATGTGCTCCTGGTCACCTCTCTCGTGAATTGTCTTATTAACTTGTTTTCATTTTAATTGTTATTAATTCTCCGTTTAATTTTTCACTCTTTAAAAATTGAGATAGACTTTCTATGCCGTAGAATACACAGAGGGCTTCCCTTGTGGTTCAGACGGTAAAGAATCTGCTTGCAATGCAGGAGACACAGGTTTAATCCCTCAGTCAGGAAGATCCCCTGGAGAAGGAAGTGGCCACCCACTCCAGTATTCTTGCTTGGAGAATTTCACGGACAACGGAGCATGGCAGGCTATATATAGTCCATGGGGTCACAAAGAGTCAGATATGACTGAGTGACTAACACACACACATAGGATACAAAGATCTTTAATATCCAGTTTGATGAGTTTTGACATGGGTACATACCCTTATAACCCATACTGCTATCAAGATATCTCTCTCTTAATTTTTTAGTTATTATTTTTATTTATTTATTTGAGTTGATTTACAATGTTGCATTCATTTCAGGTATGCAGCCAGCTGTTTCAGTTATGCTGTATATTCTTTTTTAGATTTTTTTCCCTTATAGATTATTGCCAAATATTGAGTGGAGTTTCCTTTGCTATACAGTAGATCCTTGTTGGTTATCTATTTTATATATAGTAGTGTGTGTATGTTAATCCCAAACTCCTAATTTATCCTCTCCCATTTCCCCTTTGGTAGCCATAAGTTAGCTTTCTGCTTTGTATATAAGTTCATTTGTATCTTTTTTTAAAGTTTCCACATGTAAATGATATGAAAATGAAATGAAGTTCCTCAGTCGTGTCCGACTCTTTGCGACCCCATGGACAGTAGCCTACCGGGCTTCTTCGTCTATGGGATTTTCCAGGCAAGAGTACTGGAGTGGGCTGCCATTTCCTTCTCCAGATATCATGTGGTATTTGTCTTTCTCTGTTTGACTTCACTTTGTATCATCCCTAGGTCTATCCGTGTTGCTGCAAATGGCATTGCTTCATTCTTTTTCATGGCTGAGTAGTATTCCATTGCGCATATGTACCACATCTTCTTTAGGTTGTTGCTCTCAGTTTTTGAGTCAGCTGTCTTTCAGACCTCTTGTTCAAAGTGTCTGCTGACTCGTGAACCCTCAGAGCTCAGGGACTGGCTGTCTCTTGTTCTTGCCTCCTCAGCACCAAACATAGAGCCTGGCACATATCATGCCCTCAATAAACATTAAGTGAGTGAGTAGATGAGAGATCATTTTGCCTTTGCTTTATTTATGTCAACTTACAGCTCTGGCAAAACACATTGTTTTCCAGAATCCTCTGATCCATCAGTTCATTTCCGCACTCTCTCTGTGTGCATCATCTCTGAGTAATAGTTATGCAGACTGACAGGTTAGCACATTTTAATTGGAAACCAGTCAGCTTGCGTGTACAGTTTACATTTCTGCAATCTTTATTTTCAGCCTTTTGGTCACAACAATCAGGGTGCCTTAGATAAACCATTTTTAAAGTTCTCTTTCGCAATGAATTACTCACATACAGATAGAAATATGATCAGGTCTGGCCAGTGACGTGTTTCTGTGACATGCTTTCTCTGTCTTGCTGAAACTCTAAATATAGCCTCTGTACACTGTTAGGATTACATACAGTGACATTCATTTTTAACACCGCGTGTAAGAATGTCTTCTAACATAACCAGTTCCTGAAGGGTGGGTCTTGGAAGAGAACCTTGCTGAAATTCTCACCCTCCTGCATGTTTGCTTTGTTGTAGGTAATCACTCCTCAGAATGGACGCTACCAAATAGACTCTGATGTTCTGCTCATCCCTTGGAAGCTGACCTACAGGAACATTGGCTCTGATTTCATTCCTCGGGGGGCATTTGGGAAAGTGTACTTAGCACAAGATATAAAGACTAAGAAAAGGATGGCATGTAAATTGGTATGTACTTCATAACCAGACACGGTGCCCTGAGTGTTGGCGTTGGGGCTCTTGTGTGTTTCTTTACTCAAAGCTGGCTGCCCTTTGACTGCTTCTTGTTTGAGGGTGCTCAGTCCAACAAAGCATCTCTGTTTTATAGCTAGGCTTCCTACCTGGGGTCATTTAATCCCCAAGTCTACTTGAGTACAATAGTTGAGTTTAGTCAGTTTGCGCTTATAAAAAAGAAGGTACTAGCTTACTTAGTGCCAGCTTGGATGCCTGCATCCTTCTTGTGGTAGGATGGGGGAGGAAGATCTCCTGCAAGAGCAAATTTATTTGCCTCTGTTTTTAATCTCATCCACAGGGGAGGGGACTGGGCAGGGAAGTAGGCACTGTTTGGAACAGACTTCTTAGGACTACAGATTAAAGGGCTGAATTTATTTATTTATTTTTAAAATATTTATTTATTTATTTAGTTTGGCTGCACTGGGTCTTAGTTGCAGCATGTGGGACCTTCGCTTTGGCATGGACTCTTAGTTGCAGCATTCTGGATCTAGTTCCCAACCAGGAATCGAACCTGGGCCCCCTGCCTTGGCAGCGTGGAGTCTTATCCACTGAACCACCAGGGAAGTCCCCAAAGACTGAATTTAAATAGACCAGTATTGAAGACACCCCATCTCTTCTTATTAAACATTAAGCGTGTGCTGAGGTGCCCCCACTTTGGAAGACTGGCCTGATTTACCAAAGTGAGCAGGCACACACCCTGTGACCCAGCAATTCCACTCCTGCAGGTGCCTGCCCAGTAGGCATGCATCCACGGTCCCCAGAAGCCATGTGCTGGAGTGTCCATAGCAGCACTGTTTGCAATAGCCCCAAACTGGAAAGTTTGCAGATGTTGAAATGTGATATGTTTATATAATGCAATGCTGTCCAGCAAAGAGAAGAAATGACTTACAACTGTAATGATGTAGATTAATCTACATTAGGTGAAGCTAGAACAGCTGGGCACAAAACAGGATCTGGTCTATGAGATTCCACTTATACTGGGTTGGCCAAAACATTTGTTCAGGTTTTCCCTTTACATCGTATGGAAAAACCTGAAGGAACGTTTTGGCCAACCCTATATAAAGGCCCAAAAGACTAAACAGACCTGTTGGAAATCCCATTAGTGGGTGTCCCTGGGGATGGGTGATAGGTAGGGCTCAGCAAGGGGTTTCAGGGATGCTGGTGAAGTTCTGTTTCCTAATCTACATGGTGGTTACATGAGTGTGTTCACTTGAAAATTCATTGAGTGTGATAATCAGTTTTGCATTTTTGTGTATGTCTCTTCCACTTTAAAGTTTTTTTAAGTGCAGTGAAACAGACTCACTTTTGATTTAACAAAAAACAAAATAGAAAATAATGACACTATCATCTCAGTCTCACTTTTCGTCGTGAGGGCCTCGTTTGTGCCTCCATAAAGGTTAACCCAGAGCATCTGTTATTAGAGGGAAAAAAGGAAGTAATATAGTAGTTATTTGAAGGTTGCATTTATAAAGAGATATGTCCAAGTTTAAAAAAAAAAAATCTAGAGACATTTTTTTAAAGCTCTTAGGGCCAGAAAATGCTCTGTTTTTCAGTTTTATCACAAAAGACGTGGCAAATAGCTTTGCGGGGTTGTTTTCCTTGCAGTCCTTATATTTAATTTTTAAGCTGTGTGTTTTCTTAAAAAAGAGAAACATGTAAGATGATTAACAACCCCAAACAGTTCATAAGGATGCAGCCTAAAGAATGAGACTCCTTTCCTTGCAGCAGTTACCATTAATGGGTTCTTACATGTCCCTCCAGAAAATTTCTATGGACATGTGTCTGTATAGAGGAATATTTTTTTACAAATGGGAACATAGTATGTGCATTTCTGCATCTTGCCTACCTCAATCTAACAGTTTATTTTGGAGGCATTCCTGTCATGAAAGAGTTACTTCTTTCTTTATTAATGACTATTGATTCTCCATAGAATAGATGGTCATTGCTTATTTAAATGCATTGTTAGAACATGAACGGTGAGACTAGAGACAGTATTTTATGACGAGGAAGACTGAAAATAATGACCCAAATCTAGTACCTTAGAAATTCCATGTATAACAGATGGGAAATTACCATCTCTGGGCCAGTCATGAACAATTCTTTCATCGGGTATCTCTACTGTAAATGAAAGTAGTATTTTATTATTTTGTCCTTTATTTTCTCATTTTGAATTTTTTCACCTTATGCAGATGTTAATGTAAAGGCAGATCCCAAGTAAGCATTATCTTTACTCAAGAGTACAATTTCATAATACATCAGAGTATCCTTGAGGGCATTTGTTTGCCTTCTGGTTTGTAAGTTGACCTATATTGTGTATATTTTTCATTACCCTGGGGTTGTTGAGGATAGTCTTTGTGCTTTTGTGTTCTAGATCCCAGTAGACCAATTTAAGCCATCTGACGTGGAAATCCAGGCTTGCTTCCGGCACGAGAATATCGCCGAGTTATATGGTGCCGTTCTATGGGGTGAAACTGTCCACCTCTTCATGGAAGCAGGTGAAGGAGGGTCTGTCCTGGAGAAACTGGAGAGCTGTGGACCCATGAGAGAATTTGAGATTATTTGGGTGACAAAACATGTTCTCAAGGGACTTGATTTTCTGCACTCAAAGAAAGTGATCCACCATGACATTAAACGTGAGTTATCTTTGGATGTGTCCCTTTTTGGCTTACACAGACTAGTTGGACTTTAGGCCGATGGGCTCTCTGTTCAATATGAAGGTCCTTGATGGCATGAGGACTGCCCGTGGGTCAGTAGTATCCCCTGGAGAAGGAAATGGCAACCCACTCTAGTATTCTTGCCTGGAAAATTCCATGGACAGAGGAGCCTGGCAGTCCATGGGGTTGCAAAGAGTCGTACACAACTGAGCAACTAAGCATGAGCCTGACTGGTTTCTAAGAGTAAGAGATTGTGGGGAAATCCATAAGAGAGATCAATATCTAAGCATAAATTGGGCTAGCAAAACTTGTACTGAGAAAAGTGGGATATTTTACTTTTTATTTCAGAAAGTGGCTTGATGATAGTACACAGTATATAAAATATAGAAAATATTTTTCACCTTTATTGAGAAATAATTGACAATATAACATACGCTTAAGATGTACAATGTAGTAATTTGATACATGTATATATTGCAAAATGATTATCATGATAAGATTAGTTAACACATCATCCATCTCATGTATTTATAATTTTTTTGTGTGGTGACAGCTTTTAAAATGTGCAACTTACAAAAATACCATACCAAATTTCCAGTACCATACAGTACTGGAAAATACCCTGATGCTGGGAAGGAGTGAAGGCAAAAGGGGAAGGGGGTGGCAGAGAATGAAGTGGTTAGATAGCATCACTGACTCAGTGGACATGAATTTGAACAAATTCCAGGAGATTGTGGAGGACAGAGGAGCTTGGAGGGCTGCAGTCCGTGGGGTCACAAAGAGTCAGACACCACTTAGCGACTGAACAGCAACAATTTTAACTATAGTCGCCATGCTATACATTACTTCTGGACATATAGTCCCAGAAGTTTTTTATCTCGTTACTGGAAGTTTGTACTCTTTTTCCCACCATCCCAAATTCTCTTTGCCCTGACCCCTGGCACCCACTTTGTTAAGTGTTTCTAGGTTTGCTTGCTTTTTTCTTTTTTAGACTCCTCATAAAAGTTAGATAGTATGGGATTTGTCTTTCTCTGTCTGACTTATTTAGCCATCAATGTTCATCCATGTTGTCACAAATATCAGGATTTTCTTCTTTTTTATGGCTGTATAATATCCTATTATATTAATATATATCAGACAACTTATATGTGTATAGATAATCACAAAATTTGCATATGTATAAACTTTCTTTATCCATTCATCCATTGATAGATGCTTACCTTGTTTCCATGTCTTNTGGGTTAGTTGCCCTGAGGTATGTGTGATCTTAGTTCCCCGACCAGGGATCAAACCCACATCCCGTGCATTGCATGGCTGATTCTTAACCACTGGACTACCAGCACACTCTGGCAATATCTTATCAACAGGAAAAATAAGATGTTCTATCATTACTGCAGAAAGGACAAAGAAGGGGAAGAAATCTACTACATTAAATCATTATTATCATGGGAATGTTTTTAATGAGCATTCACTCTGTGTCATGTGCTCATTTTAACACTTTATTTGGATTATATTATTTTATTCTCACAATACTATTATTATAAGGAAATACTATTATTACCATTTTAAAATAAGAAAATCAGCTTGAAGAGGTTAAGATAAAGTGCCCAAAGTTATTCAGCTACTGACAGATCAGGGAATCGAATCTAGTTTTTTCTGAGTCTATAACTCAGTCTAAGGTTTAACTGCTGTGTAACTAATATATACATTTTCAGTATAATAGTATTACTGCTTTGGTTCAGTTACAGCCATAATCATCATGATCGTTAAGAACAACATTTATTGAGATCTGATATCTTAGGCCTCTCTTTAATCCTTGAACTCTTAAAAGAAAGAAATATGAAGGTATAAGCTTACTATAATATTCAACTCATTTGTGAAACAAAAACAACAAAAACAAAACTTTCCTGAATCTAAATGAGATTCAGAGAAATGCATTCACAAGTTTTCAAATAATATATTTAGCATTCACATTATTAGGCTGCATAGTTGATTCATGTAGTGAGTGTCTGTTGGACATCTGATCGTTCAGGCTGCTGTGCATGCAAGGGAGGAACCCAAGACAAAGCCAACAAGGACTCCATTCTGAAGTTAATACCTATTTTAAATTTACCTGGATTATTAATAAATGACCAGCCATTTAGTTCACAATCAGTTATGATGGGTAGGGGGTTGGTTGCCTCTGGGAAGGTACATGGGGGTAGAATCTGCCTTCCTGGCCCATCTCCATGATGATGAGGTGTTTAGCTATCAGAGCCCCTCAGCCCCATGCCCTTCTCTGTTGAAAGTGCCCTCAGGAAGTGAAGAGGGGGCAGTTGGTGAATCTTTGCCTCAAGATTACCAGGTCAGTCCTGATGTTAATCAAAAGATAACCTTTAGTTTAGCTAGTAAATGTATTGCATTGGACTCAGTTGCAGTGCAAGGGTTTCCCCTATGGCTCAGCGGTAAAGAATCTGCCTGCAATGTAGGAGATGCAGGAGATGTGGATTTGATCCCCGGGTTGGGAAGATCCCCTGGAGGAGAAAATGGCAACCCATTCCAGTACTTTTGCCTGAAAAATTCCATGGACAGAGGAGCCTGGTGGGCTATAGTCCAAAGTAGTGCAAAGAGTCAGACACGACTAAGTGACAGAGTACACGAATGCACGCAGTTACAAAAAGAATTGTCTGCATTTTAGGCTGGGATTTCTGTAAGCCTTTTTTTTTTTTAATCCTTTTTTTTCCCACCTCAAACTTTAACCTTTTTAATTTGTATTGGGGCATAGCCAATTAATAATGCTGTGGTAGTTTCAGTAAATAGTGAAGGGACTCAGCCATACATATACATGTATCCATTCTCCCCTAAACCCTCCTCCCATCCAGGCTGTGTAAGCCTTTTCTTAACTCTCTTAAAGCAGACTTTCTTGGGCAGTAGAAGAGATCTTTGGTTTTGCTTTTATTAGTGAACTTATTCTGGAAAATACTTGGGAGAGGATCCTGGAGAGTTGTCTTCAAGCAAAATAATATTCAGAAAACTGTAGACCTTTTATTTTAAGCATGTTTTAGTCTCCAGATCTTGGGAATACTTCCCCAAAGCACAAAATCTAATAAGACTTAACACTTCTGACATGATTTTTTTGGAACTACTTCAGCATGTTTTGGCACTTGTCAGACCTTCAGATATGTGACACTCTATCCTTTTTTCCTGGAGCCAGTTTGAGAAACAAACTATTTATGGTATTAAAGATGGAAAATACCTTTCTCTTCCCGGCAGGATGATCAAATTGGACATTTTGCAATAACTGGAGAAAGACATCTCCTTTCTGGGATTTTCTATCAGAAGAGTGTGTGTTTGAGTATGAGATAGCAACACAGTGTCTATTCCTGAATAGGAGTTTGGATTGAAGTATTTTCACCAAATGTTAATTGCTTTCTATGAAGCACTAAACTGGCCTTGGCGTTCCTAGCTGTAAAAACTCTTCCGATCCACCTGTGCTTGTTTACTGTATGTCTGGCACTTGTGATTGAAGTGTGGTAGGAAGTGTGCTGATGAGTTGAGGTGTAGAGGTCACTTCTCAGAAAGTTTGTTTTGACCCCTCATCCTCAAAGAGCAAGAAGGAAGGTATCATTAGTCAGGGTCAGCTGTGCAGATTCGCCTTCCATTAGAACTTGATCATTCAGTTTGATCAGATAACGTCCGAACCCCCCAGCCGAGCTTCCAAATACAGATGCTGGTCACTCGTGGCCTGCCCATTCGGGGCATGATCTTATAACCATGCCATGTGATGCACTTATACAGGGTTAATCCAGCCTATCTTTAAGCTATTGTTTTGGAATTCCCTGGTACAGAGAGAGAAGAAATAATGAATGTGAATAAGTAATTAGAGTTCCCTTGATAGCCTTGTTCTTTTGTAAAGTTCTTGTATAAGGTCACATGTCATCATCAAGTACGTGGGGACACGCGCGCGCACACACACACACACACACACACAGAGTCTCCTTCCCTTTGTAATAAATGTGTTAGGAGGTGAAGGCCTTGACATCCCTCCCCCTGACCCCGCCGAGCTCTAGGCTCCTGGGTCCACAGCTAAGGGTGCACAACCCCCAGAGAGCCTGACTTGGGTTCCCCCCAGGCCTGTTTCAGGAAGTGCCCTTGACCCCATGACCTGCTACTGTGGCTCGCTGGAGCTTAAGGAGTCAGGAACTGGGAGCCATGGGGCTCTGGGCAAGGCATCTGCCCCCACCACACGCCACCCCACAACCCCTCCAGGGCCCCAAGCGCACAGCTGCCGCTGGTGACACCAGCCGTAACACTTTGCCTAATCCTTGCTTAGGAGAGTCGCCGGGGTGTCGGGGAGGGGAGGCAGGCACCTCTGTTAACAGTTGTCCTGACCAGAGTGTGTTGCTCAACTTTGTGATTTTATTTAGTAAGAAAGTCCAAGGAGAGAGGGAGAGAGAGAAAAAAAAAAAAAACTAGTAAAGAACCAAGCCCAGGCAGCCCGGAAGTGTGTTGTAGGAAGTACTTGAGGCAAGTGAGGTGGGGAAACTGGGCAATTTCCCCAGTTTTTGTAAGCCAGTTCTTTCTTTATTTACTCTGAAATGTATTCTGGGAATACTCACACCCCCCCTCCACGTTCATGGCAGCATCCAAAGTTGTTAAAGCTAAATATTGATGGAGAGGGTAGGAACTGCACTGTGTCTGTACCAGCCATAAAGACAGGTCACCGGTGTTTGCTCTTTTTCTCTTTTAGAAACACACACTGCTTAGGGAAACCATTTCTAAAACGAGCCCTCCTTTTCCAGCATTGGCTCATAAAACCAACTTACACAATGTGAACACGGCCTGCCTTTAGTGTTAAGTCATTGGGCTCCCTGGTAGGTAGAAATAAGAAAAGGTTCATCGAAATGACCCACTAGGATCACTTTTCCAATATTGCACTTTATTTTTTGGGGCTGCTCTGGGTCTCTTGCTGCACGGGGACTTTCTCTAGTTGCAGTGCGTGGGCTTCTCATCGCAGTGGCTTCTCTCTTAGTATGGAACACAGGCTCTAGGGTGCATGGGCTTTTCAGTAGTTGCAGCACGTGGCTCTGTAGTTACAGCACACAGACCCAGTTGCTCTGAAGCGTGTGGAATCTTCCCGGACTGGGGATCAAACCCGTGTCCCTTGCATTGGCTGGCAGATTCTTATCCACTGTACCACCAGGGAAGTCCTCCAAAGTGTTACACTTTAAATTCTTCTCTTCTGTCTAGTCGGTGTTGATACTCTGGGGACCTCAGCTGCTTTTGATGACTGAAGATAATTATCGGTTTGGCATTTGAATGCCAAACATGAAATGCGAACGTGTATTTTAGTGTCCATTGAAATACAAAAGGAATTGGTGTTTTAGTAGGAACAGGAAACAGCGATCCTTGCTTCGCAGAACTTTGAGTGGGAGTGCCAGATGTGTTCTCAGCCGTGGCTGGTTTGCTGCCTTGTGTTGAGTCTGTGGGGAGAGGTGCTGTGAGGCTGCAGGGTGAAGCTGCCTGAGTCCCCGCGGGTCAGTGCTACTCCTTTGCTGAAGGGAACACAGCAGTGACATGCTGTTCTCAAGGGACGAAGTGTGCAGTGGATACAGCGAGGGGCATGTGCCCGCTTCCAGAACTGGGTTAGGGAAATGGCGCCTAGACCCGTGAGGGGGTCAGACTGACCTTCCTGCTTCTCTTTCAGATCTACATGAGTCCGGAGGTGATCCTCTGCAGGGGCCATTCGACCAAAGCGGACATCTATAGCCTGGGAGCTACGCTCATCCACATGCAGACGGGCACCCCGCCCTGGGTGAAGCGTTACCCGCGCTCTGCCTACCCTTCCTACCTGTACATAGTAAGTGGTGACGATGCGCGGAGGGTGGGGTTGGAGCATCTCACCTGCTCAGGAGAGCTGCTCTCTCTCTGATAGTACACACATCTGATGATGGTGAAGTATGACCATTGTCCTCTATGGTTAACACTAGTATATGCTCAGTATGCTAACCATGGTATGCTGACCATGTCCTAGGCTTAGTATAACCCTAACTCTCCCACATGGAGGGATCACCCTGTGGAAACCCATCCAGCTGTGCCCAGGCAGAAATGATTTGCTATGCTGTTACACACGATGCCACTGAAAAACATCGGAGTAGCATAAATCATTGAACTGAGGAAGATGTATATGTTCTTTGAACACTTTCCAGAAAGAAGGTATTAGGTTCTAGCTCCCCAGGGCAGCCTGGCACATAGTGAAACACGCAGCGCCCCCCTCCCCCCGCCCCGGTCCCATCTCACCCCCCTCCTGTGACTATAGAGAAATTGAGCAGCAGGCGCTTACCCATTTCTGCACAGGGACCTTTGGGCATTGCTCCTATGGAAAGCTGTGTATTCAGACCTCAAGTGTTTATCTCTGACTGCATTTAACCAAAAGATGGGTTTCACTCAGTGTCCTTAGGAAATGTTACTGAAGGCTATGCGCTGTATTCACTTCAAAACAAAAGACTTTCCGGGTCTTGTAACTAGAATACCTGTCCTGTCGAGGGTATATGTTCATGCCATTGATGCTAAGAGAGCTGGTTTGTTCACAGATTCACAAGCAAGCTCCTCCTTTGGAAGATATTGCTGAGGACTGCAGTCCAGGTATGAGAGAGCTGATTGAGGCTGCTCTGGAGAGGAACCCCAATCACCGGCCTAGGGCAGCAGACCTACTGAAACACGAGGCGCTGAACCCCTCCAGGGAGGACCAACCCCGCTGTCAGAGTCTGGACTCTGCTCTCTTTGAGCGGAAGCGGCTGCTGAGCCGGAAGGAGTTAGAGCTTCCTGAGAACATTGCCGGTATGGACACCCTGCGGTGTGCAGTGCCCTGGCTTCCCTTCTTTTTCTGTCTCCATCCACCTTCTAATAGAATTCATGAACATGCCTGGAAAAAACATAGTATTAGCAGATGCAAACTAGTATATGTAGGATGGGTAACAACAAGGTCCTACTGTATAGCGCAGGAACCTATACTCAATATCCTGTGATAAAGCATAATGGAAAAGAATATGAAAAAGTATATATATATGTACACACACACATATACATATACATATATATGTGTATATAACTGAGTTAGTTTTCTGTACAGCAGAAATTAATATTGTCAATCAACTTGACTTAAGTAAAATTAAAAAAAAAAACTGAAGTAACTTCCTGCATGCTATAAGTTGTTGGAGAGATTTTAGCAAGAACATTAGCAAAAGCATATATCAAAAAAAAAGAAAGAAAAAATTAGCTGGGAATTCCTTGGCAGTCCAGTGGTCAAGATTCCATGCTTCCACTGCAGTGGGCATGAATTTGATTCCTGATGGGGGAACTAGGATCTTGCAAGCCATGGGGTGTGGCAAAAAAAAAGTCATAATTTAAAAAAAAATTGGCTAATTTACCAGCAAGCCTAACTGGTTTCCAGTGCAGATGGAGGTAACGCTGTCTTTGAGAATTACCTCTGCCTTGCTTTCTTTTGCAACAGAGAAGAGTGTTTGCTTTTAAAAATAGATCAAGCATGACAGTTTTGCTGTTGGCAAAGAGTGGAACTCTGTATAATGCAGTTATGGTAAACTATGCCAGCTGTTGGTTGGAAACATCATAGCACGATAAAATGTTGAATTTGAAGGCAACCTGCATTTCTGTCTTCTTCTGCTCAAAAATCTCTCTTCCAGCTGTGATACTTTCCCATTTAGGAAAAACGATACACATTCCAGGAACATTGGATATGCATGGAGAAGGGTTTCTGTTTTTATTATGAAATCTGTGATGTTCTAAATGTATTTGGGTCCAAACCCAGATGTCAAGCCTGGAATGCTTATTTGCATTTCTCAGCTTCTTATCTGACTTTCCTGCATTTGAAAAGAATCGTCTGGGATGTTGGAAAATGGGCCAGGATTTCCAGCTTATTTTTTGTGGTTGTTGACTCTTTTCTAAATTCTTTCGTCTGTGCTGTATCCCATAAACTAGCCCATCATGTTCAACTCTATGGCTTTTAAAAAAATTTTTGGCTGCAGCCAGAAATGCAGCCAGAAGCATGTAGGATCTTAGTTCCCCAACCAAGGATCGAACCCACAGCTCCTGCACAGGCAGGCAGACTTTCAACCACTTGACCACCGGGAAGCCCCCAATACTACAGCTTTTTAGTAATAATTCAACAGAGTTTGAATGCTGTTCCTTTAGGCCCAAAGTTTGTTGTTTTTGTTAAGTTGAGGGAACAGGCATCTATTATTGAACATGTCCCCTGATCACTTATTTTATTTTTTCAATGTTTCCTTTTTCAGACTCTTCATGTACTGGGAGCACTGAGGAATCAGAGATGCTGAAGAGGCAGCGTTCTCTCTACATAGACCTCGGGGCCCTTGCTGGCTATTTCAACCTTGTCCGGGGTCCACCGACCCTAGAGTATGGCTGATGGCTGGTGGCGTCTGCCCTGAATTAGGACTCAATATTCATAGATCTCTGGGAAGCTGATTCTGCTGACTCTGCACAGGGTCTCCATCGAGGGAATTGTATGTTTATTGGCTGGGCTCCTCCGACTCATGAATGTGATTCCATGTGACTTCTGTGAGTTGATGTGTGAAGCTACCCTTGGCCACTAGGCTGGAAAGTTCTCATTTCTCAGGTGATATGCCTGACTCTAAGGAAGCTGAGAGTTCATGGAAGGATCATTTCTCAGTGACTGATTCCATCCACTGTGCACTTTGCTCAAAATTTTAAGAATACCAATCACAAGAATAATATATTAGCCTACAATGACTGTTCTTGGTTCTATTAATAACTTAACTAAGGGAACCTCTTTTAACTCAGTGTATATATGGTGTATATTGGTGTATATTGTACGATAACTCTTCAAGCCTTTGTCTATAAATGCTGATAGAAATGAAAGTCCTTATATTTGGGGTAAATAGAACAACTTGAATATTATAGTGATAAGCTGAACTAGTGTCTTAAAAATGGCTCACCGATGAATTGGGAGCCATGTGACAGCTGCCACTAGTGACAGGTTTGGTTAAGTTCCTATGGAAACATTTTGTACTGTACATGCTATGCTTCAGACATTTGAAACATGATGTTTTGAATGTGGATAAAACTGTGTTAAACCACATAATGTTTGTACATCCCAAAGGATGAGAATGTGACCTTTAAGAAAAATGGAACGTTTATAAATTCTTAATGATGCTACTTTTATAATTCTTCTCTATTTTCTTGAAAGCGTTTGTATATTAAAATAGCATACTGTGTATGTTTTATATCAAATGCCTTCATGAATCTTTCATACATATATATTTTTAACACTGTAATGTATGTGAGTATTCCAAGTATGTTTTTACATCATGCAAATGAAAATGATACTTTTATCCAACATGACCCGTCAAATCAGCTGAATAAATTCAGTATTTTGCCTGAAGTCTTGTAAAGAGTGTGATTCTCAACTGGCCCAGGGATGGGTTTTAGGGGCTGGAATAGAACTTGGAGGAGAACGTGTGCCATGAGGAGGCCAAAAGTGCCCGAGAGCTTTGCGAGCTTTGCATGTTGTATGTATGCACCTCTGCTCTTGCTACTGTGAAGCCATAGTTGTCATCTGGATTGTCATCTGGATTGTGTACTTTCAGCATGTTGTGGTTGAGAAATAATTCTCATTGTGGTTGGGAAATAATTCTCAGCTGCTGGTTTAGGCTAAGTGTGGTTCAATTTTGCATCTTATTTTTATACATTTATACCACCTCTGAATACCTACTTACATTCTCCATGCCAATTATTGTCAAGTTCATAACCAACTTGCCTTTGTAGAAGGTAGATTTCAATCATGTCTACAAACTCTAATGAAGACTATTGAATGGGGGTCTGATCCATCATTCACTGAGTGAATAGTGTTGAACACTTGTACCAGTGTTATATAAACATGCCCTCCCTGTAATTTGCAACACTGCACTTGTGAAAGAGGCATTGTTACCTCCGCTTTGTTTTTGTTTTTCGGAAGAAGAAAACTGAAGCAGAGTGAGGTTAGCTAACTTAATGCTCAAGATCTCAAAGCCCCCCAGGAAAGAGATGGGAGGTATTTGCCTGTGAGCCTTTCTGGATCACATGCTTAATCTCCTCCTCAGATTGTTCTTGTGATAATGATAGACCAACAGAAGTGACAGAAAACTCAGTGTCCCTAAGATTCTGGTCTCCGAATAAGGTCAGAGGTAGATATACCATGAAGCTGATGTAGCTTTGGCTTCAGGGCTCCTTGCTTGTGGGGGCCCCTCTATGGCCCTGTACCAACTTCTGTACCCTCCCAGGCTGGGCCCAACACACCTGGACTTGCCTACAGCTGTCAAGGTGCACAATGTCTTTTTATTTGGCTGCACCGGATCTTAGTTGCAACATGTGGGATCTAGTTCCTTGACCAAGAATTGAACCTGGTTCCCCTTCATTGGGAACCCTGAGTCTTAGCCACTGGACCACCAGGAAAGTCCCAAAAGTGCATAACCTTTGATGATTTTCATGAAAAACCCAAGCAGCCCATGTGAATTGAGGTCCAATTAACAAGTTCCACTTGGAGAAGAACATTCCTTTTAAGTAAACTGGAACTTCTATGGAAAGATCTGGGGACATTTGTCTGCCAAGAGGTGGTCAGAGGTAGTGGGGCTGAGAAGGTGGTCAGAAGAGCACCCAGGGGAATTCAGGGCTGGGACATGAGCACCGAGGACTTGCACAACTGCCGACCCAAAAAGTCACGAGTTGTGGCTGGGATGGGCCACCAGACAGAACATCAGCTTCAGAGAAGCCAGGAGGCCCCGAGAAGGTTCTGAGGGAATCCACTGCTCACCTCCTTCCTGGAAGATGGGCAGTGGGGCTGTCAGACCCTAGGGTAGTGGGGACAGAATGATCANGTGATTGGAAACAAAGATCGTTTGATGCCAGTATCCAGGGCCAGCCCTAGGGGCAGCCGGAAAGAAATGTGCTGCCCAGCAGGCTGGCAGTTGAGTCAAAACCTTATGGGGACTTTCTCAGAACTGGGCAAAGAACTGGGCTGGCCCCTGCAGGGGACACAAGGAGGAGAATTTTCCAGCCCCCAGACCAATCAGTCCCTGGTGAAAGGAAGTATACCCCATTTTGGAATTGTTAGGAGTTTCTTTGTTTTAATGTATGACTTTCTGTTTCCCCAAAAACTTTTTTGGCCAAGACTAACCTTTAGCCTGGGAGCTAGATTTTTAAATGTTGATTTAATTTCAAGTGCACAGGAAAGTGATTCTTGCAATTACAGGGTTTCAAAACTTCATTTTGAGCCAGAGATAAGGATGCAAAGTGGCTGCACAGAGCACTTTTGTCCCAGATCTCACATGCCCTTGCTGTGAGTTTTGCTTGGCTTCCCCCCCTAGGGAGGGCAGGCAGGTGACAGTGTCAGGAGGAGGGGATATCGCACAATTATGGGTCCCAGTGAAGAAGCTATGGGAAATCTGCTTTGTCTTACTCTGGAGTCAAAATGAGAAATGATGGGGGGAAAGGATAGTTACAGAATTCGAGGCTGACATGTGCACACTGCAATGTTTTAAATGGATAACTGGGGCTTCCCTGGAGGTCCAGTGGTGAAGAATCCACCTGCCTATGCAAGAGACATGGGTTTGATCCCTGATCTGGGGAGATACCACATGCCATGGAGCAACTAAGTTCATGTGCCACAGCAACTGTGCTGGTGCTCTAGACCCTGGGAGCTGCAACTACTGAAGCCCACACGCCCTAGAGCCTGTGCTCTGCAAAAAGAGACGCCACCACCAAGAGAAGCCCACACACTGCAAGTAGCCTTCACTCACTGCAACTAGAGAAAAGCCCTCACAGCAATGAAGGCACAGAGCAGCCAAAAATAAATAAACGAAATGGAAAACCAACAAGGATCTACTGCATAGCACAGGGAACTCTGCTCCAGGCTACATGGCAGCCTGAATGGGAGGGGCGTTTGGGGGAGAACAGATCCATGTACATGTTTGGCTGAGTCCCTTTGCTGTCCACCTGAAACTACCACAACATTGTTAATCAGCTATACTCCTATAAAAAATAAAAATTAAAAACAAAACAAAGTGAGATCACACACGAGGACAGAGCAAGTCCTTCACTTATGATCAGTGCTGGGGTATGTTCTAAGCATTTGGCCTTCAGACATCTGTTTCATCAGAAATTGCAGAGATAGAAGTGATAAAGGTGAGCTTATCTGGGTGTCCAGAGCACTAAAGCTGATTTCATGAGATTCTGTTCATTCTGGTGACCATACAAGTGAAGTGAACTGGAAATACAAACAGCGAGGAATCAGCTGGAGGGCAGAATATTCTCATTACAGCCCTCTGTCCACGTAGAGGTGCCCTGAGTTGTCTTGGTAATTGTATTATCCTTGGAATAACCCTGAAAATCAGAAGAGCTGGGCAATTGCTTTACTAATGTTGACTATCATTCTTATTTCCTTCAATAAACTCATGCTAAATTTCCTCTCTACGAAGCTTCGAGTACTTCAGGTCTCTTTCCTACATGGATGTGGAACTCCTGGAGCAGGAATCGTTTTGCATGTCATCGGAACATGTCTCCTTAGCCGTCCAAGTAAGCTCCAGCTGACTTGGTTCTTCTGAGCCTAACACTCTTGCAAGGCATCCAAGGGATGAAGAGGAAGAAGAACAATCTCAGGAACAAGAAAGCAGTGTACCCGAGAGGTGGGGCTGATTTCTAGGCCAAAGCAGCTTCTCACGAAAGCACATGGGTGGGCTCCGGGGACCGTGAACCCACAGGCAGTAAGGATAAAGGAGAGGTTACAGAAAGACAAGGGCTGGTGTCAACGTTGGGCCTCGGCAGAGCCTCCTCAATTTCTGCCTGGGAATTTCTGCTTGGAAATTCAGGTCTTGCCAAAGCTTTGCTTCCAAAAGATGAGAAGGCTGGGTGGGGCCTCAGGGGCCCAGGCGACGCCCTGGATCTCTCACAACTTCCCTGTGTGGACTTTTCTGTGAGTCTTCTCCAGAGCCCGTGAGCAAGAAAGCCCCGATTGTTTCTATCTTAATTAAACTACACAGGAAAGAGAGAGCACAAACAGGGTAATTAATTCAGATTTTGTCTTTGAAACCCCAAGTTCCTTTTGTCCCCTGGCCAGCGGGCAAGAATGAACAGAAAGATTTTGGCAAATATCTTCCTCATTCTCCTCTGTGGCCCTCTCCAGGCCCCAGCCAGCTCTCCAGAAACATCTGCTGCTCCTAGAGATAATCTGGATGGACACACACACACACACACACACACACACACACGTATGCTTAGCTAGCACCCTTCCTTGGAAAACAACAACAACAAAATGCATAATGCATACATAATATTACATCTTGGTTTTTGACAGAGTTATTTCCCAGCAGTGACAGAAGGAAGCATTTAAATAAGAGCAATCATATTTAACAAGTGTCTTGCATTTGTCTTAGACAAAACTTTCCCGAGCTGTTTCTGCCAGATGGAGGGAGACTTCAATTCACTTCAGTCACGCCTGACTCTTTTGCGACCCTACTGACTGTAGCCAGCCAGGCTCCTCTGTCCATGGGATTCTCCAGACAAGAATACTGGAGTGGGTTGTCATTTCCTACTGCACTTAGTTCTCTGACCAGGCATCAAATTCAAGCCCCCTGCATTGGAAGTGTAGAGTCTTAACACTGGACTGCCAGGGAAGCCCTTTTGTGTTTTAATGGAGGTCTCGTTTCATAGACGCAATTGATTGAATCGTTGACCAGTGGTGACTGACTCAATCTCCAGTTCTTCTCCTCTCCTGAGGTCAGGGGGTGGTATAAGCCCAAGGCAGTGAGAGTGAGAGAAAAGGGAGTGAGACCGAAAATGATGAGAAACAAATTGGTGTATTACTAAATTGGCTACAGCTTCAGAAAAAGACACAGGGGTCCTTTCTTGCTGGTCAAGGGCTGCCTGTGAATGTTGGCCTTTCTGCACTGCTGGGTTGAGTCTCCAGGTACCTTTAGGCAGTTTCTGATTAGTCAGGTTCCATTTACCTCAATTTAGCACTTCGCTCAAATCCATAAGTGAGGCTGGGACTAAGAAAACCCACCACTTGATCATCGCTTCTTATCCTGACATGTGCAACCCAGAATGTTACCTTTGAAAGAATAGACCAAGGAAGTGATACTGAAAACTAGACCTCTATGCACTGGTGCTGAATTAAAGCTCAGAGACAGAGTTCGGGTGAAGTAGAATAGCTTTATTGCTTTGCAAGGCAAAGGGGGACACAGTGGGCTTGAGCCCTCCATAAACTGTGTGTCTCAACCCAGGAGGATTTGGTGGAGGATTTATAGCAATCACTCAAGGGTGGGTTTGCTGATAAGATTAGTGTGTGTGCAGGGCCTGCATTCCTTTAATCTGGCCTCAAGTGATCTCTTGACAAGCTTCTCTGGTTCT